TCTCTCTCTCTCTCTCTCTCTCTCTCTCTCTCTCTCTCTCTCTCTCTCTCGCGATATATATATATATATATGTATATATATATATATATATATATATGGAAAAGGATCTTGTCAGCCCATGGGCTAACTGCTACAGTGTCAGCCAACGGCCCAGATTGAATCTGGATCAATCTAATGGCCACAACCTCATTTTGTATTTGAATTTTCATTTTTTTTCTACAAATCCAAATCACTTGAAATTTTAGGTGCACGTAATAAAAATATAAAATAAAATACTTCATAAAAAATAAATTAACAAAGTACCCCATGAAACTTTTTGAGGGTATTTTAGTCAATTTATGTTTTTTCGAATACGAAATGAGGTTGTGACCATTGGATCGAGCCCAGATTTAACATGGGCCGTTGGCTGACACTGTAGCTGTCAGCCTGTGGGCTGATATGATCCTTCGCCTATATATTTATATATATATATAGGGATTTTCTATGCTTAACAACCCTCTAAAAAGCATGAGTTCAAGTTAGAATCACTTGTGAACCACTTTTTTACTTCTATTGCCCACATATTATTAGAACTCAAAGCCTCTGTACAAGGGCATTTTAGACATTTGCCTCAAAAATTGAAAAACAATACTCAAAAAGAGGGAATTTCAATTTTCAAGGTCTTTCCCTCCCATCCTCTCTCCCCCCTCTCTCTCAACATCTTGCCCTCCCTCTCTCTCTCTGTTCACTTCCCTGCCTCATAGCCTTACCCCTTTTTCCAAACCCTTACAAAGAACAAGCCCAATTTTTTTGTATCTCTCGGATCTAAAAGACTGGTTTTTCAAAACAATCGTAATTCTACAAAATGACTTCTATTTAGAGGGTCAAAGAGAGAGGAGGCAATGGTGGAAAAGTAATGGCGGGTTCTTCCTGCTCCTTCAATTTGATGCTCAAAACCGCTGAAACCGAGTGATTGAAACTGCTTTCAAAGAGAACATCTCCAACAAAATCGCCCAAAAATCAGTTGGAAAACCTCTCAATAGCTCATTTGCAAACCAGCTAGGAGCTCTCAAAGATCCTAGGGTTAAGTTTCAAGTTTTGTATCCTGTTATATTTTTACATAATTTGGGGTTATTATAAAAGATTAGTTTTTGGGGAGTACATATGCTCCAAATTTACTAAAATTGGAAACTATCAAAGCTTGATGACCATGGAATCATGGCAATGGTTTAAGGGTTTTACAAGAGTAGTCTTTTAGGTTGCAGAGGTGTATGCAAAATTCGTAGGTGGTAGGTAGTAAGTGTTACAATGGAAGGGATCTCAGGGTTGATAAGAGCCACGGTTGCAATGGGGGAAATAGTGGATGAAGGACTACTGTTGATAGATATGTAGAAGAAGACCGTTGCTTTGGAGCAGTGATCTGTACAACAGAGAAAGAGAGAGAAGGGTAGGTGAGAGAGAGGAGAGAGAGACGATGGGGAGGGAATGACCCTGAAAATTCAAACTACCCTCTTCTTTACTATCATGCTTTTAAATTTTAAAACAAAAGTCCAAAATGCCCTTGTATATAGGCTTTAGGTTCTAATAATATACGGGCAATAGAGGTAAAAAGATGATTCACATGTGTTTCTAACTTGAACTCTT